TTAAGAGAGGTTTTTGCCGACAGCGTACTGAGTTCCAAAATGCTCGGATTACTTTAAATTTTGACCCTGCATATGCTGTATGGATAAAAAGTGTGTGGATATCTGACCCTCACATATATACAAGCTTGTTGGATATCCCATTTCAGAACCACGGGCATTACTATGGAGTTGGCTCCCTTTTGCAAGGTCCATGTATCTTTTGGTCATTCGATTATTTTAAATCCAATATTGAAAAATGGGAAAATGGGTTCATTCTTATTTTTGTGGAAAAATCAAGAAATAGCTTCATTTTACAGTTTCACAAAATAATGAAGTCAAAAAACACAAGAAGAATAAAGGATCATATTTATCCAAATTTTAAATTTTCTATCATTTGAACCGGAAATAAACGTGTAGAGGGCACGTATGGTCACAGAAGCTCAGAAATCAGGCGGTAAAAAATGATAGACAGGCAAGATCGGGCATGAATGTTGACAGACCGAGTCCTGGCATTTCTGGGATATGACTTTTTTATAAGTGTTTGTCTATCTGATGTAGCCATTCTATCAACAAAAAACTGAAGCGATATGGGCAAGAGACTCCTCAGGACTCCCGCCATTTAACAGCGAAATCGAAGAGGAATGAAAGTCACGCTGCCCAATAATAAGAAAAATTAATACTGTAATGATGTTGTCAGATGTAAACTGTTACTGTTACTGCTCTAGACTTAAGAATTAAAGCTGTGTGCTGTACTGTGTTGTTCTTATAATACTGTGGCAGCTGCAACTGGCTCTGGTTTTGGGAAAGGAGCTTTAGAGGCGAGTTATGCAGAGATGCGCAACAAATTAAATCGCAAGTGTAATCTGTAGTATCCACTTACCTGCGAGGAGTCAGTTCTGCACAAACCCGACAAATAGGCCTGATTTCTGTTATTTCCGAGCTTCTGAGACCATTCGTGTACTCTGCACGTCTATTTCTGGTTAAGGCGATAGAATTATTTATATTTGGGTAAATAAAATATGACCCTTTATTTCATTTTGTTTGCTTATTTGACTTCAGGATTAGTTTGTGAAACTGTAAAACGAAGGTATTTCTTGATTTTTTCCACTGACAATAACGGCACCAAAAACGAGAACTGATCCATTTTTCAGTGCTGGATTTGAAATGAAAATCGAATGACCAAAAGATACATGGACCTTACAGCTATAACTTTCCACAAGATTTTGGAGTGTGTCTGTGGGAATTTGTGCCCATTCAGTCAAAAGAGCATTTGTGAGGTCAGGCCTTGATGTTGGATGAGATGTTGGCTCGCAGTCGACATTCCAATTCATCCCAAAGGTATTCTGTAGAATTGAAGTGGGCTCTGTGCAGACCACTGGAGTTCCTTCACACCAGACCCATCAAACCATGTCTTTATAGAGCTCACTTAGTGCACAAAGGCACAGTCAGACTGGAACAGGAAAGGGCTTTCCTCAAACTGGAATTAAGGGGCTGAGCTCAAACCCTGAAAATCAGCCCCAGCCCATTATCCTTCCTCCACCAAACTTTACTGATGGCACTTTGCATTATGGAGGGTAGCATTCTGAACGAGTTTGCTTGGTCTACTGTAAAACGAGGCTGTTTTTGGCTCAGCTGTTTTTGCTCCTAAATGCTTCCATTTTTCAGTAATAACACTTACATTTGACCAGGGTGGATTTCACAAACTGACTTGTGGTAGAGGTGGTGTCCTATGAAAGTGCCACGTTTAGTCAGTGAGCTCTTCAGTATGACCTGTTCATATTTATCTATGGAAATTGCAAGGCTAGGTGCTTGATTTTATACACCTGTTAGCAATGGGTGTGGCTGAAACACCTGAACTTAATAATTCAAGTGCACAATTTTTTTGAATTTCCAGAAAAATATTTAAGATTGTTCTCTGTAGAGGATGTGTTGACTTATTTACACTTGGAAATGTATGTAAAAACATGTATGTGTATTACAGGGTACTCTGAGGCCCATGCACCCACAGGCTCTACATGTAAGTGCTACAGGACTTCTGCCTACACCTTCAATGGCAGTTCAGATTCCTACAGCAAAGGTGAGGTCACTGACCCATGCTTTTACGCCCCAAAATATGTGTTATTTAATTTGTATGTTAAAATTCTCTTTTCTGTAGTTCCTGTACCTTATAGTCAAGTCCAGTTTTTGTCTTTGTCCACATGTAAAAACACTTGCTTATACATACAGTACTGTGCAAAATCTTAGGCGCCTTGGAAAACTGTTTAAAAAGTTATTTTTCTGAAAAGTAAGTATTAATTTACTTAGAAAGACTGTTAGCACAAATACAATAAATAGTGATTTTATTACGTCAATGTTTTTGCTTAACCATGTCTGAACCTCTACTCGCGGCAACAAAGTATTAATTATAATAATCGTGCAATACCTAGCAGCCTAATCAGTGCTCCTTTAAATTAAATCAAGTGTGCTGGTGGTGATTTTGATTCTAACCAGCTAATAAGAGCTACTTTTCTGAAAATAAGAAATTCTTGTTACTCTTTACTGTGTTGGTTTGCATTCTGATTTTATACTGTTTTTACATTAAGCAAAACACACTTACTGCCAAGAGAAATTCTTCTGTCTGTTTTAAACCACTTGCTGAAAGACTTTTGCACAGTACTGTATGTTTTGAAAAGCTTTCCATGCAGAACTTCAGTTATTTGTGTGTGTTTTAACAGGCCCCTTTTCAGAGCTCTCCTCAGTCAGCTCCTCGTCATGCCTTCCTCTCCCACCCTCAAGCCGGACAGAGATTCTATCACCATAGCAAGTAACCAAGTTTGACAACCAAGGTTATGACAACTATGTAAAGGTGCTGTAAATATAGCAAGTAACCAAAGTTACAACAACTTGGAAGATTTATCATCTTGGGTTATAACTGACCCATTCAGTATTGATGACAGTAACAATAATCCAACCCACTGTTAAACATACCTACTGTAAAACAGTTTTGATTTGGTTGCCGTCTCACATACTGTAAATTAAAATTTAATATGGATACTTTTGTGGCATTAAAATAAGTGTAATCAGTGAACATGGTTATACTTCTCTTGAAAAGGACTAAAAATATACTAATGTGTACTAGCCCAGAGGTCAGGGCGCAAAACTGAAGAAACAGGTGTAGATAATGTTTGATTTGGGGAAACATTAATCACTGTCTTTTTTTCCACTGCTCTGTGCCATTAGCATCTCCTATAATTAGGTATATTTGTTTAACTATGATTGGATAAAGACCAGTGACTTAAGTGATTTGTTTAACTGTGAACATTTTAAAGATATTGCCTTTATCAGTTTACTTTAAACTGAACAAAAAATTACAGGTCTGAAGAGTGGCAGTGGTTTTGTATATACGTTTTATACTAGTTAATATTGACCCCTGCAATATATGTAGGAAGGAATTTTACATTTTAGATAAGTAGCTTTTTATTGCTCCTGCAGAGGATGTTCATGGCCTCATTCCAGTTGATTTTATATTAAAATAATTTTGATAACACTGTATTTTCTTTATATTTTTCTTCACTATGTCCATGTAAATTTAGGTGTCAGTTGGCTAATTATTGCTTGGTCTATAATCGGGTCCAGAATTATTGGCACCCTTGATGGGGAAAAAAATAAAATTGATATTCCATATTTAGAAAAATATATATTAATCATGCAGTAAAATCAACCACTAACTTTTTCTTTCTGAAGAAAGTAGACTTTGTCAACATAATCCCATAAACATAAATCTCACCAGAATTTTGATATTTCCAAGGTGGTTTTAATTGCTGGGGTCAAACTGACCCCAAGAATAAGATGTTGGTGAATTTGAGAATAATACTTCAAATGAATCCAGCAAACCATTGCTTTTGATTTTTCTGAATTACATTGATTCTGAGGTATGTTTAGATTAATAACACCTTTTAAAACTTATGCTCACCTACAATCAAGACACAAGCATTCAAGTTTTGGCTTTAAAGTTCCAGTACTTGGCCCACGGCATTTTTGCTCTTTTCCATATCTGACATTAAGTATGAAGTAGCTTTCTTCACCACATTCTTTTTCATGTACATTTCTTAAACCATGTCTGGGGAGAACTGCACCAGACGTTTGATTTTTGTTGACTGTTGAGTCTTTTTCCTGCAACCCCTACCAATTGCCAACCGGTATGTTTATCAGGGGTGTCCAATCTCATCCACAAAGGGCAGCTGTGGCTTTAGGTTTTCATTCTAAACAAGCAGGAGAGCACTTGATTCTACTTCTTCAGTCGGTTGGTCTCAGTCTTCAACAGTTAATCATGCAGGCTTCTGCTATGTTAGAATGAAAACATGCAGCCACACTGACCCTTTGTGGTTAAGATTAGAAACCCCTGATGTAGATGTGATCTAAGGGCTGATTTAGAGGTGCCACATGACGCAACAAATTTTTTGCAGTTCTTTAACTGGGGAGGTATTTTGACACCATCATCACCCTCACTGTGCAAGGAGAGAACATACAACATCTTTTAGGCTAATCTGCAGTTGTACCAAATTTTGGAAACTTCATTGCTACCCTGATTAGGGCTGGGTGATATGACAATATTGTTTTGTGATAAATGGCATCAAAGTATATCAAAATATGCTTCTCTTAGCATATTGTGGATATCATCAGTACTGCCAGAACACTGACCAACTGCATGTTTCATTACAAAGAGAGCATAATTAGTCCTGTTTAACTGGAGATGTATGTGAAATGTTAAAGAAACATGATTTGTACTCAGTTTGAAGCATTGCGATATTTTTGCCATATCACCCACCCCTCGCCCTACTGGACCTTCATAGTATGTTAAATCATTTTTAGCACATCTTATAACTCATATCCTGATTAGTTCAACTACCACCTGTTTCAATAGACAGTTATTTTACTTTCCCCACAGAATGAAAAAGTTAAAACATCCTACCACAAAAAACTAGAGGAAGTCCACTAAGTTCAAGCTTAGTTCAATAACATTCTTGGAAATTGAACAGATGTAACTGCTTGGGTTTATTTAGGGATGCCATACCTACATTTGTTAATTTAAAAAAATCATTACACATAAAAGTAAATGAGTTTTAAATACAGCTCTTGTTTAATTGAATACAGAATTTTTTTGCTTGTTTTCATCAAGGGTTCCAATATTTCTGGACAATGACAGTACTTAGCTGTGTTGCAGCAATGCCCTTCAGACACAAACAAAAAAAGGCAAAGTTCATGTGCTCCTTTTTAATATTAGGTTGAGGGATTCTCTTGGTTTAATATAAATTGTTTATCACAGTCAAGGAACAAAAAGTTTTGCTCATGTAATATGAAATTGAAGAGATGGTTTTGACACCACCCTCAATGTGAGCCTACAAAAAATAAAAAGAAACAACAACCTTGAACCATACAGACAAGTTCACCAAATTAAAAAAAAGTCGATCAGTACAGTCTTATCTGCAGGATAATCTACTTAGCTGGTGGGATGTAAATGTACGACAGTGATGTGATGTCATGGCATCATTACAAGCCCAAAAACATACTGAGGCCAAACCATGGCTTACTATACTCCTATTGATTTTTTTGCTAACTCCATCTCCTCATATATTACACTCTTAGTGTGTAATTCTGAAGTCCTGCTTAAACCATAATTCTACATGAAAACTGTATCTTTACACTGTAAATGGGACATTATGAGCATCTGTGACCGGTGACTAAATATCTGTTTGTGTCAAGATGGCACCCTCTATATCTTTTGTATTTTGGCTACTGTGAGGTAAAAGTGGGTGACTTAGTCCTCCAGTGAAGGAACTACACCACATCCTACTACACATGACCTTTGTTTCTGTCTTTTACCGTAGAATGTGGCTTTTGCTTTGATCTGAAATTACAGCCACTTGACACAGCTGTAGCTATGTACTTGAGATCCCAATTGAAAGTGGCAAAGAATGTATAAAGGGTGGTAACTGGGACAGATGGAATTTTTTTTTAAAAAAACTAAATGAGAAGACACACTCATGTTAGTATCATACATATGAGGTGTCTTTGCAGGGGCAAAACCCCGCTGCTATTACAGTGCCCAAGGCTGAACAGATAGCCGTGGCACATTTGTCGTTCTTTCTTCTCTATTATATACATTCAAAATAGTGTTGATTAATGTATATTCAGTATATTTACAGATTTTTTTGTCCATTTGCAACAATTTCCAATTATTTATTCTTTTTTTTCTAGTTTTCCAACCCAAAGATGGGCTATAAAGTACATAAAGAGAGGGAGAGATAACAAAGAATGAAAAATAAAGAGAAAAAAGAGGGAGAATAGCATTGCTGAGGTGTAATTCTCTCCTTCTTTCCAGGTCCAGTGCATCTTGCCAATACCTGAGAGAAAGGGAGAAAATGGTACCAGAGGAAGGATAGGTGGGAGTAGGTGAGAATGAGGGAACAGGGTAGAATGCAATTCAGAACCAAAGGAAAAGTGGGAAGAGACGAAAAAGGAGAGAAACGTGTATTTTGATGTAATCAAAGAAAAAAAAATGAGAAGGGGAAAGGAAGACGTGGACAGAGTGAGTAACTGTATAATTGACCAGTGTCAAACTTAAATTGTCTAAGCAGTCTACAGTGAGCACTAAAGGCCAGACTTCCAAGTGCAAACTAGCTACGCATCACATATTACAGAGTCATCACTGCTGATAAATAGAGCAGGTGCTAAGACTAAACTTAAAGTCTAAAAGAACTGTATGGGGACAGTTACCTGGGAATATAGATTTCTGTAAAGGCCCACGTCTGCAAGCAGTAATCAAATGATTAAATCAAACAAAAGCCAGTAAGTCAACTAGTATGACACCCTCACTTGCCGTCTCTACATTAATATATCCATTTTGGGGGACACTAACATCTGGGAATAGACATCAGTTTTATGTGTTTATTGTTTTACAGTTTAGCCCCATTGTTATTATTAACAGGACAAAACGTAACTGCAGGTAGTACAAAATACAATATAAATTTTAACAGGAAATCCTATGTACACTTCATTCATACATGAAGTCATTTATCATGTACAGAACAATATGAATACGAAGGCTGTATCTATTTGTGTTTCTGTTGTTTGGTGCAGTTGCCAGTGTGCAAACAGCAAACTTTTTCAGTTCATGTTTTAATAGCCTCAAATCCATACATCTGTATATTTTGAAGAAAAAAAGTCAGTACATAATTAAGAAATATTTGGACATAGTGAAGAGCTTTTATTTGTGTAAGAATCACTTTCCATTTCTGTTTTTTGAGACTTGCTTTTGTAGCTGAGAGGATAGCAGCAGCTTCGCAAGGTTAGAGGTGGACATGACGAGACTATCATTAGATGAACTGCGTCACAATATGCTTTTCTGAGCATAACGTGGTTATCATCAAATCTTAAACACTAGCCAACCGAATGCTTCTTTTCGAAGACAGCATAAATATTCCTGCTTAATTGGATTTACTGCTTTATCAGTTCCAACTTGTAAAAACTCAGCAAAATTAAATATTGTAATACTTATGTATCGTGACATCTCTGCCATACCGCCAAGCCCCACCCAAGGGTTATGCGTGAACAAACTGTTAAAATAATTTAAAATAAAACTTATTACATCTGTGTTCTGTGCTTCGGACTTACATCTGAGAGTCAAAAAGTGGTTTTAACAGTTTCTTGAACCAAAAAAGGTATTTTATTGAAACATCATTGCAAATCACATGGATAGTTATGACTGGAAATAATATTGTTAAGGTGTTTTGAATCTTTTGAATATAATGTAAACACTTGGATTAGTGCTTTGCTGTTGGCACACTAGCGTCGCACAGTCACTCTCAGCTAGCAGGTGAGCGGCACACACGAGTGAGAGCTCTGTATACCTGCTGTGTTTTATTTAGCCATGGCTTTGATGGCCACTGCAGACTCCTCATTCATTGCAGACAGGACAGTGATCTGAAGGAAGAAAAGGACGGCAAAATTAGTACTGCCAGGTATGAACACTATTATTAATAATATTACTAAGTTATTAAGAGTGGTTCTAGCTATAGGTAGACACTGTAAAAGGCACTTACCAGAATCTCCTCTCCAGCATCAAACTTGCTCTCAATCTCTTTTCCCAGGTCTCCCTCAGGCATTTTTAAGTCTTCTCTGACCTCACCACTGTCCTGAAGCAGAGACAGGTAGCCATCCTGGATGCCAATCAACTGTAGAAAGAAGTAGGTTAAGAGAAAGGAAATTAGATTTATTTGAGAAAAATAATCCCAATTCAAGATGGCTTAGAAAGCCTTCTTAACACATTTACTTGACTAACTAAACTCTCAATCTGGACTTCTTGTTCTTGAGAATGTAGAAGGATATTAAGAGTAATTAATTTCATTCACTGCCTTGAAACATGCGGAGTTAGTAATTCCTCATCATTGTGAACATAAACTGTGTGTCCTTGAGAGAGCCATACCAACTGACATTCATACCTGATAGTCCATTCTCTTGATGTTAGGAACGTCCATATTGTGAGTTGAGGGACAGATATCCTCATACTTTTTGCCAGTAAAGATGTCAATGCCAACCATGTGGACCTGTCAGCCAACACAGAGTAAAGCTGTTTATCCTGCTATTCAAAAGTTGTTCATTCTGAACCTTCCCAGTCATCTCCTATTGTATAGTGCTTTTATATAGTATTGTTCCGAGCTGAATGATGTCCACATCATCTACAACACATTCAGAGACCCATATGGTACAGATTCCAGAAGCTCTAGTTGTGTACAACAAAGACATATCTACTTTAGTTTGATTCTGAATACCAAACAAAAGGCACCTAGTACTTTGCCATTGTCTAAATGAGATTTGGACCTGGATGCAGAGCCCACATATTTCTTTACCCATTTCTAATCAGTTGAACAGCAGATCTAAATTATTTAAACAGTCTCATCATGCTCTTTTAATCACACGTTCATGTACACAGTACGTATACACTCACCTTTGCGTGTCCGTGTTTGCCAGTTTTGGAAGTGGACATCTCCACAATCTTGCATGGTCGGCCCTTCAGCACCACGAAGCCGTTCTTGCGCAGGGCAGAGCATTGCATGGGATAGGTGGCGGAAGCCCCAGCATCACCTGTTGTGAAGTCCAAATCTGCATCTGCCATCTTTGTCCTGGGGGGGGGAGACCAGCATTGGGCATAAAATTGAATGCATGACATGATCTGTAACGGGGCTGAAATATGTAGCTTACTAATGTCAACTAATGTTGGGGTGTTGGTAGCATACAGAAAAATAAAAAGCATGCAGAGAGGGTGTGGAGAATTTTGATCATTTATGTAGCATTAAAATGATAATCTTTAAGGCAAGACAGCTTTAAAGAATTTTAACGAAAATCTCTTCAGGGCATAAAAGGTAGGGCACTCCGCTAGCTTGTAAAGGAGAGCTAAATTAGGTAACAGGAACATGGCACCTGTTTTTCAGACCACTGCTATAGACGTCTAACAAGTATAAATGCCACAGTTGCTGTAAAACGGTTATTAGCGATATGTTCAGGTATGCAATTTGTGAATTATGGAAAGCTAGTGGTATGACAGGCCCTTTTATTCGTGCTATGGTTGCATGGTTGTGCGCACGCGTTCACGTGCAAAGGCCCAAACGTCAAGTCATGCTGCCTCCATGCGAGAAATTCATCGACACGCAGCCCGTTGTAACAGACCTGCACCACCGGACGGGTCACTTACTCCCAGTAGCCCTCAGAATGGATGTTAAGAATGACAGTCGGGCAGCTTTTTGTGTGTCCTCAGCCCTGCCGACCGACCACAGACTCCGCTTTAGCTACACAACACGCACAGCGCCGTTAATCCACCGGCGCTGCCATGCTAACGCTAACGGTATAGCCGTGCTCAATGAGGCCGCCTGTACTGCGGCGCTCTACGAAACGTCCATCTTCAGCATTAAACATTTTAACCGATCACAAACTGGGCGGTTTTAACAAGTTTGGGACACATTCCGTGAAGACACACTCGCTCCTCCGCCCGTGTTAGACGTGGTGCGGCCTGCTGCAGCCGCGCAGCCTGACCGGCCACGAGAGGCCTCTCAGTGAGCGGAGGGCTAACGGCGGCTAACGGCTGAACACGACAGCGCGAGGTCTACATATAACTAGCGCTAACGTCTCTGTTGCCGCGAGTGGAGGCGTTAACCGCCTTCAGCCCGCTAATGGGGAACTAACACGAGGTCTGCCTCAGTGCGCTAATTCAGCGGCGGCGCTGAGTTATGATTCCGGTTATCTGATCTCTCTCTGGCGACCACGTTTAGACTCGGCCCCACCGACCCAGACCCTTCTCCTTTGTGCCGCCCGGTTCCGTAAAGTTGACTCCGTAAAGGCCCCGAGGACATATCGTTTCATGTCGTCGTCGTCATCATCCCAAGTTTACCACAACCACACGATTTAAATCGTCGCTTACTTCAAAAAGAGCTAACTCACTCAGTCTAAAGTTATCACTGCTTTAGAGCAACATTGGTTACAGTAATGTAAAAAAGAGAGGAGGAGGAGGAGGAGGAGGCAGCTGTAGGGCGCGATCACGCCCGCTATAGGGGAGGTTTACTGCGCTAACTTACCTAGTTACGAGCTTTCTTTCCCACCCGAGATGCTATGGGGCGATCCGACGACTGAGCCTGTAGTCCCGCTGGATGTGTGATCTCTGCTCTCTGGCTGCGCGGCGCCCCTGCTTTTGTGCCTATTCACTTAAATCAGCTCTCCAGGCGCTCCCGTCATTCCAGGCCTTTCACTTTCCCCCTCTCTTTTTCTTCTGCTCTCCGTTTTTTTCCGAGGGCACACGCGCAGGTCAGCGGCCGACAAAAGTGTGAACCCCAAACTCTCACTCTCTCTCTCTCTGTCTGTCTCCCTCTCTCACACTCACTCTCTCATCCGCACCGACTCAGCCACACATACCCACCAAAACGAGCCTCAGCAATTTTCTCTTTACTGCGCATGCGCACCCGCTCTTCGCTCTTTAAATTCTAGGGCGGCGCGGGGGCGCGCAGAGTCACCGGGAGCGTGCACGGCCCCTCGTGTCTCGCAGAGCCACGTTTGCGTAGATGGCGGGACCTCTGCTTTGCTGTGACTTCTGCAACGGTGAATAATAAATAAACACATCAGAAAGCAGTGTGACTGTTAGCTGCGTCCATTTAAGGCAAATCATGTCGAATTGTTTTTCTGAAAAGGTCTTTTATGACTCCTCCCATTCATTCTGCAATTAAGGATTCCGCTAGTTTAAGGGCGTAAAGTGCTATTCATCAAGAGCCCACGCAACTCTGCCCACGCCACGGTTTCCCCCCTTTGAAAGTCGCGCATAACTTCTTACGCACTATTTGACGCAGCAGGCACGTTGAAAAGTGCTAATTCGTTTGAAATTATATGACAAATTGTATGTAAATTAGACTTGGCTTTTTTCACAACAGTGTGTTTTAGTTCTTACATTAGTTCTTTAGTTCTTCCCTCTGTATCTCAAAGAAGGGCCACAGAATTGTATTTATATGTTATTTATAACAGGTTTTACAGACCGGACTGGAGAATAACTGTAGGCTATAAGACATGGCCACTGCACAGGCTATTAGACAGGCCCATCTCAGTCAGTGTAGTCGTTTGGATAAATATAGCCGTGTGAAACATGAATCTGCTGACCTATGGGCAGAGTGGGATGTGGGGGGCGAGGGCGAGGCAGTAGGGCCTAACAACACAGGGGCACGAAACAGGGCGTTTTTTTCATCCACCAGCCCAGCAGGACTGACTTCGTTTGCTCTCACTGATTTTGGCCAGCAATCTATGTGTCTAATTTATCACTGACGGCTGCACGAGCTGATATATCCGTAACAGATGACAGGTGCAGGCCCGGTGGAGAGGGCACAGCGAGGGCCATGTTACGAAATATCTGCAAGCCATGTTTTTAAACTTAACAATAGTAGGGCATTGGGCAATATCGGGCCATATTTTTAAATCAAGCATGTGTCCATCTAAAATACCCTGTCAAGATGTTTGTATGAAAGACTGAGAATAGTGCAGAGTGAAATTTGTTCTAAGAGAATCATTTTTGATGATAGTTCAATATGAAATGCATCATAGGCCAATCATTTTTAAAAGATATTTCAATGTGAAATGTACCATAGCCCAAGGATTTGTAATGGTATAGCCTGCCACACTATGAGATTACTTAGTAAAGACCCCTAACTACATTTGCATCCCTCTGTAGCATGATTAAATCATAAGTTGCTCTGGAAAAGAGTGTCTGCCAAAGTATAAATGTAATTTCTAGAGATGTTTCAGTGTGAAAAGACCATGGGTCAATCATTTCTTCTGATAAGCCAACATGAAATCTCCCATATTGGAAGGATTTACACCGATCAGCCATCACATTAAGACCACCTGTTTCTACATTCATCATTCATTTTATCAGCTCCATTTACCAGACTGTAGTCCATGTGATTCTCTGCATACTTTTTAGCCCCCTTTCACCCTGTTCTTCAGTGTTTAGGACCACCACAGAGCAAGTATTATTTGGTTGGTGGATCATTCTCAGCACTGCAGTTACACTGATGTGGTGGTGGTGTGTTAGTGTGTGTCTGAGTGGATCAGACATAGCAGTGGCGCTTGGAGTTTTTAAACACCTCAGTGTCACTGCTGGACTGAGAATAGTCCTCCAACCAAAAATATCCAGCCAACAGTGTCCTGTGGGCAGCATCCTGTGACCACTGATGAAGGACTAGAGGATGACCAACACAAACTGTGCAGCAACAGCTGAGCTACAGTCGCTGACTTTACATCTACAAGGTGGACCTACAAGGTAAGAGTGTCCAATAGAGTGGACGGTGAGTGGACACACAGTTTAAAAACTCCAGCAGCACTGCTGTGTCTTATTTTGTTGTTATATTGATATAACACATCATGCTATACCAATAAGAGTCCTTGAGCAAGACTCCTGACTCTACATTTACCTCCCTTTGTAACTTGATTAAACTGAAAACTTCTCTGAATAAAAGAGCATCTGCCAAATGTGAAAATGTAATTTTTAGAGATATTTCAGCGTAAAATGTACTGCAGGCCAATCATTTCTGGAGATATTTTAATGTAAAATGTACCATAGGCCAGTCATTTTTTTAGAGATAATTTAATGAGAAATGTACCATAAGCCAGTAATTTGTAGTAATATTCACTGTGAAATGTACCGTAGGCCAGTAATTTCTAAAGATATTTCATTGGCCATTCATTTTTAGAGATATTTCAGAGTCAAATGGACCATAGTCCAAGCACTTAGAATAGCATGCAACACTATACCAATAAGAGTCCTCGGCTAAGACCATCTGTAACATGAATAAACTGTAAGTTGCTCTGGATAAGAATGTCTGCCAAATGCGTAAATGTAAATCTAAATGTAATTTCTACACATATTGCTCTGGATAAGAGTGTCTGCTAAATGTGTAAATGTAAATGTAATTTCTACACATATTTCAGTGTGAAGTCCACCATATGTCAATCATTGATATTTCAATGTGAAGTCTACCATAAGTCAATCATTTCTAGAGATATTCCAATGTGAAGTCTACCATAGGTCAATCATTTCTAGAGATATTTTAATGTAAAGTCTACCATGTCAATAATTTCTAGAGATATTTCAATGTAAATTCTACCATAGGTCAATCATTTCTAGAGATATTTTGATGTGAAGTCTACTACAGATCAATCATTTCTAGAGATATTTTGATGTGAAGTCTACTATAGGTCAATCATTTCTAGAGATATTCCAATGTGAAGTCTACCATAGCTCAGTTATTTCTAGAGATATTTTAATTCGAAGTCTGCTATACATCAATCATTTCTAGAGATATTTCAATATGATGTCTATCATAGGTCAATAATTTCTAGAGATATTTTAATCTGAAGTCTATGATAGATCAATAATTTCTAAAGATATTCCAGTGTGAAGTCTACCATAAGCCAATCATTTCTAGAGATATTTTAATGTGAAGTCTACTATAGGTCAATCATTTTTAGAGATATTTTAATGTGAAGTCTACTATAGCTCAATCATTTCTAGAGATATTTTAATGTGAAGTCTACCATAGCTCAATCATTTCTAGAGATATTCCAACGTGAAGTCTACTATAACTCAGTTATTTCTAGAGATATTTTAATTCGAAGTCTACTATAGGTCAATCATTTCTAGAGATATTGCAATATGATGTCAACCATAGGTTGATAATTTCTACAGATATTTCAATGTGAAGTCTATCATAGGTCAGTCATTTCTAGAGATATTTTAATGTGAAGTCTATCATGGGTCAATCATTTCTAGAGATATTTTAATGTGGAGTCTACCATAATTCAGTCATTTCTAGAGATATTTTGATGTGAAGTCAACCATAGGTCAATCATTTCTAGAGATATTCCAATGTGAAGTCTACCATAGCTCAGTTATTTCTAGAGATATTTTAATTCTAAGTCTACCGTAAGCCAATAATTTCTAGAGATATTTTGATGTGAAGTCTACTATAGATCAAACATTTCTAGAGATATTCCAATGTGATGTCTACCATAGCTGTTATTTCTAGAGATATTTTAATTCTAAGTCTGCTATACATCAATCATTTCTAGAGATATTTCAATATGATGTCTATCATAGGTCAATAATATCTAGAGATATTTTAATGTGAAGTCTATGATAGATCAATAATTTCTAGAGATATTCCAATGTGAAGTCTACCATAAGCCAATCATTTCTAGAGATATTTTAATGTGAAGTCTTCTAGAGGTCAATCATTACTAGAGATATTTTAATGTGAAGTCTACTATAGGTCAATCATTTCTAGAGATATTCCAACGTTAAGTCTACCATAACTCAGTTATTTCTAGAGATATTTCAATGTGAAGTCTACCATAGATCAATAATTTCTACAGATATTTTAATGTGAAGTCTACTATAATTCAGTCATTTCTAGAGATATTTTAATGTGTCAGTAATTCCTAGAGATTTCAATGTGAAGTCTATCATAGATCAAACATTTCTACAGATATTTTAATGTAAGGTCTACCATAATTCAGTCATTTCTAGAGATATTTTAATGTGAAGTCTACCGTAAGCCAATCATTTCTGGAGATATTTTAATGTGACGTCTACCATAGGTCAGTCATTTCTAGAGATATTTTAATTCGAAGTCTACTATAGCTCAATAATTTCTAGAGATATTTTAATGTGAAGTCTATCATAGATCAATCATTTCTAGAGATATTCCAATGTGAAGTCTACTATAGGTCAATCATTTCTAGAGATATTCCAATGTGAAGTCTACCATAACTCAGTTACTTCTAGATATATTTTAATTCGAAGTCTACTATAGGTCAGTAATTTCTAGAGATATTGCAATATGATGTCTACCATAGGTCAATAATTTCTAGAGATATTTTGATGTGAAGTCCATCATAGATCAATCATTTCTAGAGATATTTTAACGTGAAGTCTATCATAGATCACTCATTTCTACAGATATTTTAATGTGAAGCCTACCATAATTCAGTCATTTCTAGAGATATTTTAATGTGAAGTCTACTATAGCTCAATCATTTCTAGAGATATTTTAATGTGTCAGTAATTCCTAGAGAGATTTTAATGTGAAGTCTATCATAGATCAAACATTTCTACAGATATTTTAATGTAAAGTCTACCATAATTCAGTCATTTCTAGAGATATTCCAATGTGAAGTCTACCATAGCTCCATAATTTCTAGAGATATTTTAATGTGAAGTCTACCATAATTCAGTCATTTCTAGAGAAATTGAATGTGAAGTCTACTGTATGCCAGTCATTTCTACAGATATTTTAATGTGAAATCCACTATAGGTCAGTCATTTCTACAGATATTTTAATGTGAAATCCACTATAGGTCAGTCATTTCTAGAGATATTTTAATGTGAAGTCTATCATACATCATAAGCCA